CTCTCAGCTGACTGGGTGTAATCTTACTAAATGAAAAGTGGAGGACTCTGGGAAAATGGTGACGTAAACAGAAATTCATTCCTACCCTCCTCCACAAATACAACAAGGAAACAGAGCACAGCTCTGAAGAACTTTGAATTATTAGAGACAAGCAGCAAATAGAATATGGTAGGAAAGGAAATCTTCTCATCATTTCTGCCCTTCCACCCAACAAGCCTGGGCCAGCTGCTATGAACTGGGGAAGTAGCTCTAAAGAAAGAGCCTAATCACCACAGCTCCAGTCTATACAAAGTGACAAGACCTCAGGCTTTTACAAAATCAACAAGGCAGACCTCACAAGGGCTCGTCTGGAGCGTGCCAGCATCTCCCCCACTCAGACACTCTTGGCTACAAGCTACGTTGTTAAAGAAGGCCCATGCAGGGGAGTCGGCTTCCATAGTAAACACTCTGCTGGTCCCTTGTGTGCTCCACATTCAATCATCTGGAACAAACTAGACAGACATCACCGGAGATCAGCTTGAATCTGTCTGCTCCCCCTTAAAGCCAGCACTACAGACTGCTGATTGAGGCTAGGAGGCAGACATGTTGAGTGCAGGCTACACTCACAGCCAACATACTAAGCAAACTCTGATGGAAATGAGACAGACCTCTCTGAGGGTGAATTAGGAGTGTGACAGTCCCCCACTAAGGAGTTCCTGTCACCTGCTGGACTGATAGGAACACCTGAAGAAGGTTCCCTAATGAGGGGTCAGCAGATATGTCACCTGAATGGAGACCACTCCCCCAGTCACCACAGAGCCTATAGGAGCTAATGGCCACAAGACATCTTTGTGAGGTTCTTAGCACCATCTAACAGTTCTTCCCACCTCTTTGCCATTGTTTGTTCATTATTTGTGAAGGGAAAGGTTCTTCCTTCTGTGGGCAAGGCTGACTCCTCTATTCTTTGGATCTCATCACAATGACATATTGGATTGTCCAAGCTATTGCACTATGGAGCCTTCAACTGCCACCTCTGTATGGTCTCCTCCTCCTCTGCCTACAGTCAAGTTCTGCCCCCAATCCTTAAAAAAAAAAAAAAAAGAACCACTCTTGGAACTTTTATTTCCTATCCTCCTAAGGTTTCTTAAAAAATCAATTTATTTCTACAGCTTCAACTTCTATTTTCTCAACTCCTTACAAACTCATCATCGAAGTGAACCTATTATACCTATCTAATGACCATTTTTCAGTCATCTTACTGAAATAAAGTTAATTCAGATGAGGCTCATTCTGTCCTCAGGATTTAACATTGCACAGTCTCACATTCTGGCCTCAACTGTGCCAGCCCTCAGAGGACCAGTGATTCTACATCTATACCAGTAAGAACCAAAAGGAGATGGCTGTGAGAGATAGTGAAGATGCATAAATGATAGAAACTGATAATTAACTGGAAACAGTAAAGTAAGGAGTGAATGAAAGAAACATTTTAAAATGATGCAGGTCGAGATTTCCATATTATGATGTGGTGAATATGGCTGTTAACTCTGGAACAGTGTCATGAAATGAAGTTTGGGTGTGAAGGTGATATTAAAAGATAAAGTATAATCATGATTTTACTTGAAGGAATTTTTCCTTTGAGGACACCGGTATCCATATATGACTTGACTGCCCAGTATTAAACTCTGGGCTAAAGAGAGAATTAAGAATATATTTGTCAAAATGGCAACAGAAGACATGCACTCGAGAAGGAATTGTGCAGTGAAAAAGTTCTGTCCTTCTTACATGTCTTGGGAAGGTCTGATGGTGTAAACTCATGGGCTGCACTGCTAACCAAAGGTCGCATCCTCTCTGGCAGTTCAAACCCACCAGCAGCTCCATGGACGAACTTTGGGCAATTTCCTCCCAGGCAATTTCCAGTCTCAGAAATCTGCGGGAGGGTTCTGACTGGATGGTAAAAGACGATGCTGAGATGGCATGTTCAGTCAATTGTTTAGTTCTGCAGATTATGCCTCTTTTGTAGAACTCTAGCTCTCCTGTGTGTGCATTTTTTAATCTTATCATGCGTCTTACCCTACAACCAGATTTTAAACTTCTTGAGGAATCCTTTATGCTTCATTATACAACATGAAACACCACCTTCATTCATCATTATCTACTGTTGTCAGAGATTATACTCTTTTGCTTTTAGATTCTAATGAACAAGATCTAATAAAATCTATCCACATCTTAAAGGCATTTTAAAGATAATCTGGGTCAAGGGCTAGAACCTCCAGGTAAGCTTTTTTTCCTTCTTCCCCAATGTCATGAGATTTCCTTCTATTCTATTTGGCTTTTATTTTCCAGGTGAGCTTTAAAGACCAATCAAAAACAAAACACAATCATCAATGGAAAAAGTGCTTTTTAATTTTCCACCATAATAATAAGTACATTGATATAATAAACAGTTTGTTTACTAATATAGCCATAATGTCTCCATATGCCTTAAACAATATAATTATTCAGTGAAGGTTAAAACGGCAGAGTAGTTAAAATTTGTGCAACATTTAAAATGAGAATTCAAGTTCTTGAAAATACTTTCATAAAATTATAAGCTGATAACTATTACCCAAAATGGAAGTCAGATAACTTAATACAGCTTGAAAATGAAAGAATTGTCTACATAACAATTAACAAGTCCATGTTTCCAAGTCAAATACCAAACTGCAAATAGAGAAATGTAAACAGTTACAAAACATTAAAATTTTAAAACGTTTCTTAGGTTATCTAAACATATGGTTCATGAGCTATTTGTGACTAGTCAAAGTGAAAAAAGAAGCTTGTACCAGAAGGAAAATCAATTATGTTACTAATCACATGGGCTCAGTTATTTTCATCACAAGGCTTTCCTGAAATATATAGTAATATGTTTATTTTCCTTCTGGCACAAGCCTTTTAGACTAGAGAACAGGTATTACCTATTCTTTAAAGTGCCATTACAGTTTTACCTTTAGATTTTGAATCAGGTTAACTTTAGCGAGTGGGAAAATTAAAACGTCAATTGTAATTGTCATCTCTGCATCATCTATTTTCTAATCCTACATACCTAGGGATCCAATCCTGAAAGTAATTTACACTTTATAAAAATATCACAATTTAACATTAATCTTCATATAAGTGTAAAAAAACCTGTTCATGTAACGACTACCTTAATATACATTATTTTTAAATCTAGAAATAAAAAGAATAACAGTATTATTTGTTGACAAATTCTCTTTAAAGATCAAATTTATTTTCACATTTTAGTCTGGGTCTACAGAACATTTGTGCAAATATTAGTTATTTTCTACTATAAAATGTATTGTTAGGAAAAGGTAAAAAAATTAGAATGGAAAATGGTAAGAAAATTTAGAACATACATTCAATTAACTAAGGGAAAACATGGAAACCATTTTAAAAAATTTTCAGACAAACAGCAAGCTGGTAAAAAATATTTTTTAGATAATAAGTTACAATTAAATTTGGTTTTAATTTCCTGATTCTTAATTTTTGGTATGGCGTAATACCCCTATAGAAAAGTAATCTTTTCTCATTCTATACTGACTTCACTTCCGTTATTTGAACCCAATATTTAAAGGAAATAAATGGACAATCAACAACTTAGAAACAATTCATCAGTTTAAAATACAAGTACCCTAAATTGCTTGTTTAGTGGTTAGTTCATTTGACTAAAAAACTGCTTAAAAAATTCAAATGCATATTTACATGTCATAAGAAGAGAGTTCTTTGGCACCTGAGTTGAGTACAATATACTAGATCAAAAACTCTTGAAATTTGTCTAAAAATTATATTTAATCTATCTATACATATGTACATACACCTATACATACACATATACACACATATGTATACAATACATATAAGTAGAAGGTATTTGCTCAAGATATTACAAGGAATTCCACATTTAACCAGACCTAAAAATTAATAAATTTTTTATTCTAAACACGTTTTATCAAAATTTCAATAAGTTAAGATTTTAAGATAATTTATGATTCAAAGGGGAACACTGGGCATTTTTTGGTCAAATATCATTTTGATACAGTAAGGTGGCTATGAGGTCAAAATTATCCTAACATAACACAGCTGACTTTGTGATAGTCGCCAAGTAGGAACTGGAGATTCAAATAAATTTCCCTATTAGGATGGAACCATTAGTCAATTTATAAATATGCTGTTTTTTTGCATCGAACCAAGTAAAATACTAACAGATCGTCATTCACAGAAATTTTATACAGGACTCTGCATCAGTGTGATGTGGTCATGTTTTATGATCACGTCCACCAGTGCTATGATACTTTCACGTACACTTTCAGAACTTTAAATGACTTGTAAAACTTAGAAAACATAAACAAATTGGCTGTAAAACTTAGAAAACATAAATAAATTGGTAAGCTGCCTATTAGCTGATAATAGTTATAATTTTAATATTCCATTAATAACCATTCATGGTCCACTAAAATTAGATCACTTTGAGTTTTATGTATTTTTCCATCTCTAGGAAAAATTATTGAAGATGAACGATCTTTACACTTAGACTGTCAATTCACCATTTTCCAGGCCTTATTAAATACAAACTATGCTGAGAAAGGGCAAAATATACTTGGGTTTAAAAAAGAAAACATGCTATCCTTCAAGTTTCTAGCACTTTCTTCAGTTACAGGGCTTCCTCATATAGCAGGCCTCATTAATGGAAATTCAACATTGTTTCAAAATAGTTGAGATTAAAAACTATTTCAACTCTAAATTATATCCTGATCATCTAGAACTTTCTAATTTAAACTTGACACTGTTTCCCTCAATAAATTCTGTCAAAAGAAATATGGTATAGGACTCACCATCGGGGAAAACAAAAGCAAAACAAGAAACTCTTAAAGTCTTCATTATTTTTTTATATCAACCATAATACGACATAATCCATATAACTTTCTTTTTCTGGCATTTTTCATACATATCAAATTTATTGCATGAACATGTAAACTCGTAAGTACATTTCTGTCACATATTTAAATACTTTTTTTTCTCTACAGAGTTAATATATCTAGATAGGAAATGAAATTATGCTTAGAACATGTAATTTAGCATAAAAGCACTTCCTTAAATTCTTCTATGCAAAAATGCATTTACAGTATAAACATACCATATATGAAATGAAACTACAAACCATAATCACACACTGGAGTGGATTTAAAATTCCAAATTCAGTCTAAATAAATCAAAGGGGAAAGTGCTAACAGAGCAAATCCGAAACCAGTTCGTGAGGATTAGGCAACGAGTCATCAAATCGAAACCTTTTAGAGACCATGCTGCTATCCTCTGGAATATTCTCCTTGTCTTCGTGATCAGCACAGGTTCCATTACAAGAAGGTTTAGAACTTTTGTCTTCAAAAGACCTTAACATCTGATCTTGAACTTGAGAGGTACTGGAAGTTTCCTCAGGGTGAAACAAGTCTCCAAAGTCCGATTGCTGCAGCCAAGAATGAGAAAGGCAGATTTCTGCTGTTGGTCTTTTCCTGTGGGAGAAGAAACAAAGAAATCAAGAGACAATGGAAAATCACATGACGAAAGATGTATATTTTTCATTTAATATTAAAATAGCACATGTATCACAAATAAATCCTAATAGCACTGAAAAATGAAAAACCAAACCCACTATCATCAAGTCTGACTCCCAATGGCTCTATATGGCAGAGTGAAACTGTCTAATCTTATGTAATTGTCTTATTTCAAGGCTGAAGTAGTTACATTAGCAGATTTTCTACCATGAAGCAGTGGATGGGTTTGAAGCCCTGACCTTCTGGTTACCAGCAGAGCTCTTTAACCACTGTGTCACCAACATTCCTTTACTAGTACTAAAGGCAACTCTAATACTAGCTAACAGTTTTTACATGCTTACTGATAATGCTGTTATATATGCTTGAATATATCATCTAATAATCACAAGAAACCTAGAAAATAGGTGTTAGTATTCTCACCTTACAGTTAAAAGAGTAAGAACAAGGAATTAGGGTTTACTCGACATAACTTGTAAAGGGTGTTGGTCAATGGAACCTTGACTTCAGAGTTTGTGTTTTTTAACCACCGTGTTATTTCCCAAGAAGGTAAAAAGTAAAGTTAATTTCTCTACTCTCATTCTCCAGTTCCACATCTAGAAATTTACATGTTATGTGTATACATGCATATACACACATTCACAAGACTTATAAACCTTACATATTCCTCACAAGGAAGCTCTGGTAGCTTAGTGGTAAGGAATTATACTGCCACCCCAAAGGCAAAGAGTTCAAGTCCACCAGCTACTACACAGAAGAAAGATGGACAATCTCCTCCCATGTAATTCACTTCTTCTGTAAATCCACTGGAGGGTCAGCTAGGAGTCAGTTCCAACTTAACAGTATTTAACAATATTCCATGAAAGCACACTCTATAGCATGGCTCAAGTATCCTTCTACATCAATACAAAGAGAATGAACACATTAACTAATAGCTGTATTAGCACTCTTTCATATATAATTTATGGGGTTCCCAGAATTTTGACAGCCTAAATAATACTGCAATGACCATTGAGAAAATATTCATTGGGGCTGCTGTTGCTAATTATCATCAAGTTGATTCTGCCTCAGGGCAAGCCCTTACATGCTCTGAAGGGTGTATAAGACTGTGACCTTTTGGAAGCACATGGCCAGCTCTGTTTTCTGAACTGCTATCTTTTTGGCTAGTAGTCAAGTACTTAACTGTTGTGGGACTCCTTTATGAAAGTCATAAGTTTGTATTAGAAAATATTTCAAAAGCAGAAGAGACAGAGATCCTGACAACAAAACTAGGAAGTCAAATAGAAGAGACTGTTTTATAGCTTGTACTTTATATGTAGCCTGGCCATATTAAAGAAACAAGGCTGATCCTAGGGAAAAGGCAGGCTGTCTTTCTGTCCTTGCCTTGAAGGCATGAGTGAGAAAGAATCCGACACAATGACTTCATGTCCCTTCTTTAGTATACAGTCAAAGAGCACCTGAACTTCAATCTGACAATCTATCATCTGGTGCAGTTCCCAGGGAACTGCACTGCAGACTCAAAGATGGTGCCTCTGCCAGGTCGAATCAACCAACGGCTCTGCAGGACAAAGAAAGGCAATCTGCGTACTTCACAGCCTGGGAAACTTCCTGGAGGGCCTGCTTGAGTCGATTCTGACTGAACGCCAATGAGTGAGAGTTTTACTATATAACTATAGATATTTAACTACAACTATTCACAATAAAGTATTATCATCACCTGCCACATGTGATAAGGCTGACACAGATACGACAGAAAGAATATGAATTTTCAGGTCAAAAATATCCTATTATTTTTCTATTTTATTTAAAGTTTTACATAAATATATATTTACTATTTAATGGCCTTTCATATAATTTCTCCCATCCTACCTAAAACGTAGTAATTTAATTTTGGAATTCATCTTTCCAACAGATTATTTTCATAATATTACATTAACATTGTACTTACTGTGGATTTTTAACTAAAAGGCTCTGGACAAAGTCTGTTGCCAGCTGTGAAACCGATGCAAATGTTTCTTCTGAGTAATCTATATTAACTTGAGAAATATTGAGGTATGTTTCTTGATTAGTTTCTCCCACAAATGGGGATGTATGTGTCAACAACATATAAGCTATCACACCAATAGTCCTGAAAAAGAATTGAGATAAAGAGGTAAAGATTTTTTTGATCTTAAAATACTCATATAAAAGTTAATCAACACATTCCTAGCTTTGAGAGTTCTACAAATACAGATATAAATGTTAACAGTCCCTATATTATTAAAATTAAAATAACTGTGTTACCTCAAAGTGTACCTCCAGGATAAGTAAACAACAAGAGGAATGCATGAGTGTAACATAATTACATAAAAATGTAATGTATTAAATAGTTATCATTGCAGCTTGCCTGCAACGTTACACCAGCTGTCAGGACACAAAGGGGCTAAAAGAGGAACATTTATATTGTTCCAATTCTTGACTCATTTGCTCAGGATATGACTAAATAAATACAATGCCAGGAAATAATCCTGATACACATCTTTCTTTGAAACCATGTAATATTCTCTTGAACATTTGGAAAGGTGCTGCTTGGGTTATGGATGCATTTTACATGTGTACAATTAAATATTATGGGATTTCATCACTTCTGGATATTGTTTATAAATTTTTCTAAACCTTACAAAACAAACAAAAAGGATACTTATTACTCAATTTTGAGTCAAGGCATTAAGGTAACTAACAAAATCTTACCACATATCCACTGAGGTGGTAATGGGATCATAATTTAGGATTTCTGGAGCTGAAAAAGAAAATAAAATTCAAACTCAATACTGATACATTAAAAAACATGAAAACTATATTAAATTAGAACTAGATTCAATTTTGAAAAATATAGCAGTATAAGGTCAGTAGAAACTTCCAGAGTATTAATTATCCTGTGATTGAAATTTAAGCATATTAAGTAGGACTGCAGGGTGTTTTATTATGTTGTCTATAGGGCCTTTATGAGTCAGAGCAACCTTATAGCACCTATAAGCAAAAAGTGTTACACAAATTATATGACTGGATGGTTCAAAAGCATCCCTAATATTTCTAGAGTAACAGGTATATATGCAGTTACATTAAAAAAGTAAATCCATTAAAATTAATCTCAGGAAAAACAATTATGGAGGCATATAATGTTAGCAGTTAGAATATTTTTAAAAGTCTAAATGTTTTACGAATTAGATTATTTTATTAGAGTCTTTTTTCCCCATGTCAATAGGATTATATCCATTTATAATGACATTTTGAGAACATTATACTTCTTGTAAATGCTTTATAGACTTTCAAGAGAAAGAAATATCTCCCTTAACCTAGGAAAAGCCTAATCTCCTAAGAAATACATTGCTATCAAACATTTGCAATTAGTAGACTGCACTAAGATTTGTGACTGAATAATAACTTTCTGTCTAAGTGGAGGTGTAGCCTGTAGGGAGCTATGCTGCTTCTCTGGGTGGTTCAAATCCATCAGCAGCTCTGCTGCAGAAAGACGGGCAAGCTCTGCTCGTGCAATCTGCGCCTTAGAAACCCACCTATCAGTCAGTTCTGGTGTGCCAGCAAAGAGTTCAGTTAATCAGCCTCCCATTATACTTTTCACATACTTTCCTGAAATGTTATCTATAATAACTTATTCGATATAGCTTCTATTGGCAGTTGAAAGTTAGTTTTTAATTTTTAAGAAACTGTCTAGTTGGATGACATCTGTACTATTTAATTGTATCTTTTCACTGTGAATACAATGATAGCACCTGACAATCAAGAAAAACGTAAAAAGATTACTACTATTAATTAAAAGACCTTAAATTTGTCTGCTGCTTCATACAACTAAAAATAGTTTATACCTGACTAACTCAGTACACTATTTCTACAATATTTAATCATCAGTTATTTCTAGCACCCTTCTTTAAAGCAATCCTGTCATAGCCCTGGACAAATCCTCACATTTTAAAGCAGGACTCACAGACAGCAAGCAGTTCCTAATACATGCCAAGTATCTATATTGATTTGGATCTGGGATGTATACAAAAAGAGAAGTGGGCCTGTCAAACAGCCAGACTTCAGGGTTCACACTGGATTCTCTCACTTTCTCTTTCTAATTTTTGTCTCTTTTCCAATGTCCCTTCTCCCTTTCACCCATTTTTTTTTTCTCTTTATCCATAAAGCCTTTGCACACAAAGATTAAACATCTGAACCTATTCAACAGACTGTGAGATGCTAAAAAGTCTCAAAACCTTAGAGTCAAATAATTCTATTTTAAGTTATCAAAACCAAGTTTCAACACATTCAAATTTCTGAATGAAATATACCCTGCAATGACATGGTCTAAAGTATCATTTTATAAAGACATCATTTACTTAATAAATTCTAAAAAAAAAGTTGTATAAAGTAAAAGAAAATGCTCACCTAAGTATTCTGGCGTACCCATGATTTCTCGAAGTTCACGTGAATTCCCTATTTTACGAGACATTCCAAAATCCACAATTTTGATGTCTCCAAGAGGGTATATGCTGCTCAACAGTATATTCTGTGGCTAAATAAAACACAATAAAAAGATATGTAACACACAATAAAAGAGTGCAAGGTGGCCTAGGGCTAAGAAACTTCACTGCAGTCTCAAAGGCTGGTTCAAGTCAACCAGCTGCTCTGCAGGAGAAGGAGGCAATCTCCTCCTGTATGATTAACTGCCTCTGGAAACCTCCTGGACTAAGCATCAGTTCTAGCTCAATGGTACACAACAACAAATCTCAGATTAGCAAAAATGTAAGTGGAATTATTTCAATAACTAACTCTCCAAATTCACTGCCATCCAGTCTTTTCCAACTCAATTCCTAGTGATGCACCACTGGGTTTCTGAGGCTGTAACTTTACAGCCTTTCTCCCGAATAGCAGCTGGTGGAATCATACCATTACGCTTTAGGTTAGAAGTGTAACCCGTAATTCAATACACCAGCAGGTCTCCTTATATAGTACACCGAGCCATTCAAACATTCATCAAACTGTTGTTTAGGAAGAACTATGCATCCAATAGGGAGTTCTTGTGGTGCACCCCGGGGAGCTGTGCTGCTGATCCAAAGGCCCAATCTTTCTGGTGGCTTGAATCAGTGGCTCTGAGGGAGAAATACCAGCAAACTCCTCCTGAGTTACAACCCCAGAAACTTGTCCTAGTGGGAGAGTGGTTTTAGTTGATGACAGTGAATTTAGCTTTTGGTTTATTATTATCCAGGTATTTATTATCATGGTGCTGCTTTACCAATATTTTATCAGTAAGAAAAACTGCAGTAATGCTTGATAGGAAATACCCTTCCTTCCTATATTACACAGAAGAAAGAATGGGGCTTTCCCCCCCACCTTTAAAAAAAAAGAGGAAAACAATGTGCTAAGTCAAATTTTTAAGATAAATTTTACAGCTTTTACAGAACATCTAACTCTCTAGCTTTCACTGGAAAAAAGAATCTAAAATTCAAGAGAAATGTCTAGGATGTAGGTAGACATTTGAAAGTCATCATAATGAAACATTAGTGGAAGCCAGAGGCTCATGCAAGGAAACTGTACAAAAGAAGTTTCCTAGGGGAGCTCTGGTGGCCTAGTGGCAAGGAGCTGCAACTACAATCCCAGAGGCGCATGGTTCGAATCCACCAGATGCTCTGCCGGGGAAGGAGGGACAATCTCCTCCTGTACCAGTCAGATCTGATTTGACGGTACACTCACACACAAAAAAAAATTTAAAAAAATAAAAAGTAAAAAGTTTAAAAAAAAAGTTTCCTGAAGAGGCTGTGAAGGAGGTAAATAGAAGGAGTAATAAGAAAAAGATGCATTAATATCATGAAACTGAAGACTAGCAGGGGATTATCTTCAGAAATGGAGATGGTGAGTATTTCAGAGGTAGACAGTTTTATAAGAATGTACAGGATGTGACTATAATAAAAAGATAAAACAGAATGACTATATGATTAGAACATATAGAAAGGATGCTTTTTAAAAGCTCAATGGTTAATCTGAACAGCTTATACATGCAGTTATTTCTCTGCGAATAGAAAACGAAAGCCATGTAGCTGACAGGTAAGCGAAGAGTGCACTCAGTGAAGTGCCGGTGTTCATGAGCAGACCGTTGTTCTGATCAATGCCAGCCTGCAAGAGTGCACACGGAGAACAGAGGACAAACACAGATGTCACGCTATTTAAAACTGTCTGTTACATTACCTTTAAATCAAGGTGCACAATGTTATGCTGATGCAGATGATAAATTCCTTCAAGTATCTGCTTAATGAGTCTGATAATATCATGTTCAGAGATCATTTCTGCCAGCTCAGGTAAACACAGGTTGAAGATTTCCCCACCTGCGGCACTGGAAGCAAAATGAAAGCAGAAAGTTGAAAGATCAGTAACCTAAAAGTGACAACATTTAAATACTGTATACCTGTCAAGTGAAAGACTTAGTCATCTAAACTTTAATCAGTATATATACTTAAGGGAGGTGGGGGGGGATTATTAAAGGGGAAAATAAATGACAAAGTTATTTTCAATTCTGTATACTAACAAATTAATAATTAACAAAGAAAATATTAAAATTCAGTAATATTTTCATCTATAGTAACATTATATTAAAAATAATAAATAATCAATACCATGAGTTCAGTTCTATGCCTTCTTACACACACATTCAACTATGAATAGCCCCTACTTTGATCTTATTATCAACTATGTGAGGTAGAAAGTTATCACTGCTGATAAGAAACACAAGTACTTTGCACAGTCACAGAATAAACAGGGTGGGATTGAGAGTGATGATGTCAGACTATGAATCTACATAATGAGAGTCTGTATCTTTTGACTCTCAATATATTCTATTTATAGGAAATACCTGAGGTTAGAACCCAACTCTTAAAAAAGACTTTAAAAAGAACAGAAAACCTAAAGAATGCTAAAGCACAGTAAAAAGGGGGGAAAAATTCTTCTATTTGAAACAAATAATCTAAGTCTAAATCCCAGCTGTGTTATTTACTAGCAATATTTCTTGGGGTCAGTTAGTCACTCTTTCTCTAGGGAATGGGGATAATGACTGAAGAGTTTTTTGTTTTGTATTGTGGGTGGGGTTTTTGAGAGGAGGGGTTAAATCTGATGAACTAAGATAAAATTGCTCAGTAATTTAAATGGAAAACAAAATCTAAATAGTGACTTATCACAAGATAAGGCTGGGAATGTGAATAAAGCATATTTGTGGCAAAAATTAAAAACTCAATTCACTCCAAAAACCCTGTAATTCACTGCTGCATCTCCAATCTTAAGAGCAATGTTCTAGCAGATATTAGATAGTCAATTAATGTGTTGATCAAAGGAGTGGTAGATACAGCACTTACTCTTCAGAATGACTGAGACAGATTCAGCAGTTCCGGTGACTGCATGCCATCTGTACTAGGACCCACAAGAAGAAAGACTACTCGATGGTGTCTCAAACCTGAATCTCAATGGAAAGTCACAATGGCTGATAATTCACAGATGCAATTCTTAGTCATCTACCCTGTGCCCATTACAGGACACAGAAGATTTGCTCCTTGACACTTGGATTCCAGAGAAAGTTCTGTCCTATCACCGGAAAGGAGCACAGTGAAAGCTTTGATCACATACACTTCACTTCCAAGTCCTCCCCTTCCTCAACTCTCAACTCTATTCCTAATAGTTATCTTCTGAATTTGTCTCACAGTACAATGTCAAAGACAACGAGCATGGAAATTTGGTTACTTTTAAATTGATAATAATGACTCTAAACTATGCTGTTCTGTGCCATGTAGTCTAAATGGACTCATAGCTGACTCTCCTGAGGTTTTCAAAGACTGTAAATCACAAGAGAGTCGACGGCTCAATTCTGACGGTACAATTCTGTTTGTACGTGAAGCTATATATCCAGCCTTGTGACAACAGATTAGGATAACTGGTGTCTTTTTAATATTATATCAATAGGAATCTGAATACATTCTTATCGTAACTTTATAATTCTTCTTTTTGATGATTCAAACACCAGCTTCTCCTATGATTAAAGTAGGTACCAAAAAGCCACTTATATTTACTATAAAGTGTATACTTACTATTCCAATATCAAAATTATTTCATGTGTATTTTCGTAGACTTCATGAAGATTAATCACTCGGGGACAGGACTTCATCAGTTCAAGTACAGCAATCTCATGTAAAATCTCTGCTCGACAATCCTTTCCTCTTCTCCTCTTTTTTAGAAATTTCGCAGCATATTCTTGGCCAGTAGATTTTGATATGCACTGTCTGACCACAGCAAATTTTCCTCTGGAGAGATAAAAATAAGGAAAATCAATTTAAACTTTTCTGCAGGAAACAATGGAATCAAGTATTATATTCTGTTTCTACAAAAACTATACTCTGGTCACATAAAACTATTAATGGCAAACTACAATAAGGTTGAAGACACAGATTTTCACTTATTTTTCATTGGTTAAATGCTATTACCATTGGAGGAGGGGATCTATTTGCATGTCAAGAGCATAACTTTTCCTATAAACTATTGCATTTGAAAATCAAAGCAATCCTATACATAAAATAACTATTCTCTTCATTTTACAAGTGAATAGAGGATAGGTACCTAACTTGGCTAAACCAAAGATTTAAACTCAGGCCTATTACCAAAAATTACACTTTTCTTTAGATGACACTTCCACTTCCTAGTCACAATAGCCTTCCTCAAAGACATAACACACATAAGAGTGTATAAATGGGTATTTGACCTATTTAATTTTTATTAGCATCACCACTTTAACTTTCTTTTATGATTTTAATGTAAGTTTATAAAGAACTTGGATTTCCATTTATTCATTATTGCACATTTTCCTCCCTGTCCCTCCTCCCCCAGGTTCACTTTTTTCTTTGGGAAAAAAGTTCTTTCATTGTTATTCAGTCTCCCCGCACCCCCACCTGCTGCCAGACCACTTTACTATGCAGCTCTTATTCTGTACTCTTGTCATGCCAATAATACCTAATAATATATTCCTTTTATGCAGTTCTCTCCCTTGTCTGTTTCAATATACATTATTTATCCCCTTTTTTTTAGTTTCCTCCAAACCCCCGTATCAGTCCTGTTCTATAACAGTGGCATTATGCAGTGTTTATCTTTTTGTGACTGAGATATTTCACTCAGCATAATGTCCTCCATGGTCACTCATTTTATATAATATTTTATGAGTTGTTTTTCAGTGCTGCTAATATTCCATCATGTGAATATACCACAGCTTCTCTATCCATTCATTTGTTGATGGGCACTTGTGTTGTTTCCAACTCTTTACTATTGTGAACAAAGCAGCAATGAACATCGGGGTGCAATCCCTTTTAGCTTTCAATAACATTTTTGCATGCTTTGAAACTTTCTATCTCAATTCTATAGTCATATTTTGTGAGTATACCTCTCAGTATGGCTCAGGCATCTATGAAGCCCATGATATCAAAAGTATGTCAAAGACAATTCATGATCAACTACGAAAATAAATGCTTATCAAAACAGTTATGTGTAAACACACCCACTAAGGTTATGTTTACTACTTTAAGAATACTTATGTCTAAAAGTGGTTTTTGCAATCACTTGTTATGCATCAGAGAGTTGGACAATGACTAGGGAAGGATAGAAGGAGAATTGACGCCTTTGAGCCGTGGTACTGGAGAAGAGTACTGAATGTTCCAAGGACTGCCAAGAAAACTAACAGATTCATCCTAGAGAGGGTTAAACCAGGCTGCTCCTTGGAGGAAAGGATTCTGGGGCTTCGCCTGACATACTTTGGACATGTTGTAAGGAGAGACAGGTCTTTGGAGAGGGACATCATGCTGGGCAAAGTGGAGGGACAGCACAGGAGGGGAAGACCCTCTATGAGGTGGATTGATTCAGTGACTGGGGTAATTGGGATGGGTGTGTCAGAGGCAATGAGATTGGCACAGGATAGAGCAGGGTTTAGGGCTGTTGTACATAGGGTCGCTATGAGTCGCAAACGACTGGACGGCACATAACAACAAAACAACAACAATGTCTAGAAGTCTCTTCACTGGGAGCTCTGATGGTGTAAACTGTAGGGAGCTGTGCTGCTAACCCAAAGGCAGGGGTCTCTCTAGATGTTCGAATCCACTAGTGGCCCTGTGGGACAAAGATGGGCAATCTTCTCTCATGCAATGGACAGCTTCCAAAAAGCCAGTAGCATGCCAGCTATGAGCCAGTCCCCACTTGAGGGCGATGAGGTTGTTGAGTTTCCGGTCTCTTCAACAGGCTCTTCAAGACCGTAAACAAATTTTTTAAAAGATACTTAAAATTATCATTTTTAATGGCAAATTTTTATATTTCATCTCTGCCATGTCCCTAAATCTGAACAGCTAAATACATAAAGATCTTTCCTATTAGACTATTTTGAAAAAATGAATAAAAGTTACTGATAACCATGCCTCAGAAAAATGAACATGTCATTAAATAGGAAGATGTACATACTCATTTTACAGGATTTTCAGATTTCTAAGCCTGTCCAAGAACTTTGTTATTGTAAGGCTCAAGGTCTCTGGTTCTAACAAACGGCATTAAATGAGAGATCTTTAAGGAGTGTTTTTGTTCCACAATCCTTCTACCCACTCTTTCACATTTATTTTAAGTATTTTTAATATCATTATCAGAAGACTTAGGAAAATACAGAACTTTTGTGGGTTTTTTTTTTTCTATCTTAAAATGCTAGTTGTGGTTTAGAACTATCAAAAATACATAATCTCTAACACAGATGTTCCTGTGCCAAACTGAACAGAAAAATTCAAGGAGATGTAAAACCCTTTACAGTAATCCTTAATTCATGCCCTAAAAAGGTTGGCTGGCTTTCCCAGCCATGAAAAGCTCTAGGAGTTACTGTTCTGCATTCTAGAATGCACAATAAAATGTTAAAGGAGGGGGCAGGGTAGCCCACAAAGGAAGCTGACGTTTATTTCTGAATCTGCCTCACCCTTCTAACCACAAGAAGTCCCATGAAACCTCGCCTCATTTGGGGGATGGGTGGATAAAACTTACCCAACATACTAAAAAAACAGGAACAATGTGAGCTGTTTGAGAACAGTAAAAAATGAACTTCTAACTTTTGAATATTTTCATTTAGTTTGCTGTTAAAAAATTCAACACTGTCTTAAAATTAATAATTTAAAAAGCTGATTTAGAAAGATAACTTTGTAGTTGACCACATGCTAGAATTATATGCCTATACACTTCAAAATGTGCAAGACTCAGGAGATACAAGATTATAGTCCTAATTTCTATTTCAAACAATTATAGGATATTAAAATTAGTCATAGTCTTGGAGGGTATTTAAGTATCCTCTTAACAGATGAAAAGAGCATGAATTCTAATTTATCAAAGCTTACTCATTAAATGCATCAACATTTATCATGTGATTCATTAATCCAAAGCACTTAAAAGAAAAAAAAATGCTAGTCTTCTTTCATGAAAATATTAATAGATGAGATATTAAAAATCTAAATTTGTTTTAATCACATACCAGCATAACCCTCTGTTTTGTTTTTCTTAAAATGTTTAAAAAAAGTACACTTGATTCAAATTTATGGTGGTTCCTTATAATGGCATCTCATCTATGAAACAATTTAAAACTTTTAATACTATCCTTTCAAAGTTCAATTTCTTCAAAATGCTCACAGAGAATAAAACAAACCTATACCTTCCTACTCAGTTAACTGGTTCCTGTTGAGTCAACTCTGATTCTTTGAACCAAAGTGTGTGTGACTGAGCAGAACAGTGCTCTGGAGAGTTTTCAAAGGTTCATTTTTAAGATCACCAGGATTATTTTCGTCCCCTAAGTCTGACTGTAATCAAACCACTAACCTTTCTGTTAGCAGTACAGCACACACAGTCTGCACTCAATTCTTACTACCCAAAGATTCCATATAAAATCACACAGCCAACTAGACCACTGTAGTTTAGTTTGCAAGGAACTCTGCTGCCAACCTAAAGGCATGTAGCTCTAATCCACCAGCTGCTCTGTGGGAAAAATATGGGCAATCTCCTCCTGTGTGATTTACTGCCTCTGAAAACCCACTGGAGGGTCAGTTATGAGTAGCTGCCAGTAGATCATACAACTTTAGACCCAGAACAATGGCAGGTAAATTGACTTTCAGCTTGGCTTGTATCTACTAATAAACTATATGAAGCCTTGACACTGAATGAAGCATGACACAAATTTGACATGGTTGCTGGAAAAGAAAGAAAACAAAACACAAACTAAACCCAAACAAAAACCAATTGTTAATGAACCTTAGGTTACCTTAGCAGAGGAAATAGGCTTGCTGAAATGGTAATATGTTGAAAATAATTGTGTCCAATTCCAAGGTCTCAATTTAAGAAGGGCAAATGAAAAAGACAAAGTGGTTCAGGAGACTAGATAGATCAAAGAGGTCTGGAAGGCAGACCATCTAATACGTAATGAAGCAAACTGGTAATGTTAAGCAACATTAAATATCATAAGAGTTTCACATGGATGGATGGATGTGCTAGAGCTACAAAAAGAGAACTAACCATGTCAACTGGGTAGGTGTTAATAGAAAAAAACCAGAAGCTTCTATACCCATGAGATGTCCACAAAATGGAACAGATACACTAGCTGTAAGTTCCCCATCACTGAAGCATAAAGAATGTCAAATAAATTACAGCAAAGACTGTTTCACTGCCTTAATAATTACAAGATCGTTGACCACTGAAGTTATTCCGATGCAAAGATTTCATGACTTCAACGTGGGATATGTTGTTGTAAGGCACCAATGAGTCAAATATAACTCATGGGACCTAGAAACAACATATTAATCCTGTCTCATCTACATCATCATTGGCACACTTGAGCACCTTGCTGCACTCACTGTGCCAATCCATCTCATTGAGGGTCTTCCTCTTTTTTTACTGACCCTTCCACCTTCCCAAGTATGGTGTCCCTTTCCAAGGAATAGCCTCTCCTAGCAACATCTCCAAAGTGTGTGTGACAAAGCTTTGTTGTCTGTCTCCAAGGAGAACACTGGCTGCATTTTTCCCAACATGTATCATTTGTTCTTCTAGCAATCCCTCCATGTGTGACAGGGAGAAAAGTGCAACAATGACTGAATGAAAACTCTAAGTCTCTGTAAACTTTCATTAGAATTAATAAAAAAAAAATTATTTCGTGGTAAAAATATCTATCACAAAAAACTGATTCAGTGACATGTATCACATGTCCATACTGTGCAAACAATCATTATCTGTCTACTTTTAAATTGCACTTTTAAAATAATAGTAAAAACGGACTGTTTTATACATAAAAAGTAAATAAATAAATACATCAGGAATTATGTAATCTTTTATATTTAATTCTTAGACTGGTAAGACAGATCAGACTAAGATATGTCCCTAATCTTAAGCAAGTGACATCTTGGTTAAGCCAAAACAGATTAGTATTTATACAGAATTTAACATAGAAAATGATACTATAAAATTTTTGCTTAATTTAAGAAAGAAGCTGCCGGTTTCCTTTTATCAATCTAGCACAGTGCACTAAGACCTTTAAAACACTGTTACTTAATAAAAACTTACTCAGCACTATATTAAAATTCAGTTTTAAAAATATCATGAATTAAATCCTCACACAGCAATACCATAATTTAACCAAAGTCACCCAGTTAGGTAATGGCTTAGCAGTCTCTCCCCCATGCATGCTGCGGCCCTCTCCCGTGCACAACCTCATAAAATCACTTCACATCGGCGGTTCAGAAGGTAGGTGGGATATATGCTATAAACTCACTAAACTTGCACAACTTTGATTTTTCAGGTGAGTTGAGATTCATTCAGCTTATTGCAGTTAAGTCTGAACCAACTCAAAGCCAACCTCCCAGCAGGTTTTCGAGAGGCAGTTAATCGGACGGGAGGAGATGGCCCATCTCTCTCCACTTTGTGTTAGCTGCACAATTCCCTATGGACTGTACCACCCGTTAAGACTAGGTGCTATCTACTAACAACAGAGGACACGGCTTTTCTTTCCAAACACCCTTTAAAAATGACCTAAAGTTCAACAACACAAACTATAAAAACAGAAACTCAACATCTAAATCTAAGGCCTATATAAATAAAGCATAACGCGCCTTTACCTTCCTAGCTCTTTAGATGTAAGTGTATAAAAGTTGTTGACATCTTCCAATTTCAGTGGAATCTGAGCAGTTGGCGTGAGTAAGCCTTCAGCACAGGAACTGCTTCTTTTCTTCAACATATTCGGTAGCTCTCAGATATCCTTCTTTAGTCACTCAATTCCACCTTCTGGGGGGAAAAGAAGACAGAAAATATAACTTAAATACAATTCAGAAAATGATGGTATCTCACACAGGATATGCATTAAGATTAAACAACTCCAAATATAGCTCTAAGATACAATGCTCCTCCTCTTCGTCCCATCATGAAAGAGAAAACCCATCCTACTCACTAGCAAAATGGCAAAAAGCATGCCCACAAACCAGTATCACCCCTCTGTAGCCATCCTGACTTCATTTCAGAATAAAAATTCTGCAAAACTCTTATCACTCAAATTCACTGCTGTCCAGTCAGTTCCAACTCATTGTGGCACACCCACACTCGCCAGGTTTCCAAGGCGGTAATCCCACTGGAAGGGACTGGCCATCTTCCCCCAGAGTCACTGGTGGGCACGAACCAGCAGGGACACTCGGACTGTGGGTGAGCAGTGCAACTCGCTGTGGACTGAACCCTCAGGACTCCCTAAAACTTCCCCAATTCTTCAAAAGCTAGTTATGCGGAAATTATATAATACAAGCAATCATACAATTTCATTTTAAAATTCATCATCTGAAGTTTTACCTTTAACGTAGGAAATCACAAATCTCTGATTTTAAGTTCAGTGTAACCTGACCAAACAAAAGTGAAAGTCTTTTCTAAAGTTTTAAAATGCAAAGATGCCACTTAGATGTCACTAATGGATGCAAAAGCTGAATAAAGAATAAGAAAGAGGGAAAGTTGATGAATCTGACTTACAGTGGTGAAGAATACTTGAGTGTAATATGCACTGCAAGAAGATCAAAAAACTCTGTCATGAAAGAAGTACACAAGTGTGTACGAGGAGATTGTTTCTCGTGGTGGTGTTATTAGGATGGAACAGTTCAACCTTGGAGAAGAGCATCCAAGGATTAAACTTTAAATCAATCATCCGTCTCTCCTTCAATCCCCCTAGTCTCCCCCACCAATAGTCTTTCCAACTCCAACAAAGAGTCTCTGGACTTTGTCTTGTCTTTTCCTATAACTCGTAAGGAACCTTGGTGGCATATTTAGGTAGTAAGTGTTTGGGCTGCTAGTCAAAAAGTCAGCAGTTCTGCCTATCCAGACATTCCCGCCAGAACAAGACCTGGAGATGAGCTTCCAGCAAAGAAAGCTCTATGGGGCGATTCTACTAAGTCACATGGGGTTATTATGAGTCAAAATGGCTAGACAGCACCTAGCAACAGCGCCATAACTCATATGCTCGTAACTAAGTTACCAATCTGTCTTGTTCCATTTGAAAGCCCTTTTACAACACTTCATCAGGTTATACTGGTTTTTAAAACGTTAATCCAGTAGGCAAATTTATGTGTGTAAGGGGGTGGTTTATACAATTACAAACACAGTAAACATCTGGAACAGTGAGTGGGCAATAGAAGGTATAGGACAATTAAATTTTAATCACACAATACTATGAAGAATAATGATGTCCCTAACTTACTTCAAAAGTGTTTTTTTTTTCATGACAATAGTTACATAAAGAGTTTGGATGCACATCAGGAAATTAAAGAAGAGAGCGTGTAGTTAGGTTTGATCTGAGACTTGCCTTACTTGAAGGGAGAAAGCAAATGTGATCCAATTGATCAAAATCATGTCAAAGACAAACAGTCCCTAGATCCCTCTAATAAGCTCGATCTAAAAAAATATTCATTTCAAAATTATCAAATATGAACGTTTTCTAAAAGCAGAATAGGCAAGATAAGAGTAAAGATAATGTCTAGTGTGTGTGATTTCTTCACTGGTTCCCAGGACCTACAAGCACCGGCGGGTCAATCTACCTGCAGCTCTGCTGGAGAAAGAGTGGCAGTCTCTCTCGGATTAGATTTACAGCCTTGGAAACACCCCCGTAGAAGGTCGCTATTAGTGGGAGGCCACTCAAAACCAGCAACTGTCTGAGCACCTATAGCTGAAGTCCTTAGCATGAAACTCACGGCACAGTCAGTACACATCGGCTTCTCTTGCTGCCACATTCATCAGAGCCATCCCCTGGGGACTGAGGGGTTGGGATGTGTGCTGGGGTTGACACAGTCAAAAAGGCTGACACAGTTTGTGACTGGCTGGAGCCACAGAAGGAAGGGCCTTCAAAGTAACACTATCACTAGGGTTAGTCTTACCCATTATATAGTTCGTTAAGGACATAATTCATCACTGCCCCACCGCTCCCATCTGCCAGTCAAGGCCTGATGCCAGGCCTTGGGCTGGGCTTCCACTTTGGCCAGTAGGAGTGGGGAGGAACTGCGAGGAGACCTGGAGTTGGGGGTGGAGAGCTGCAGACCCACAGGGGCGGGCTGGGCTGGCTCCACCCAGGGAAAGGAGGAGCAAATGCTTGCGCTGGGCGACACCAGCCTTAAGTGATGGCACTGACACATAGGTTTTTGCTTTCCTATCTTTGTCTAGTCTCTGCTTGGAACATTCGTTCTACTTTTCCTTAAACAGTCAACTCTTCTCAGGCATCTTTCATATCTTGATGCAGAATGCTATCTTCCTCAGCAGCTTTTTCTAAAATACAGATTGGTTTAAAATCTTCCCCTTAGGCTTCAAATAGGAGACCTCTCAACCTGTAATATTTGAAATGGCAATTATGTCTTATAGTTAACATAATCTACAATTGTTAATTTTGTGCCCCAGCTCCCAGCATAATGAATGTTTTATTAATGGAATTATAACCAACAGTGATAGTAAGTTAAAGGTTGATGGTTCAAATCCACCAGACAAACTGGAGGAGAAAAACGGACCATTTCTTCCCGTAAATATTTGCAGCCTTGGAAAACTAATGGAAGACTCACTTATAAGCACTGGGTTTGGTTTTTACTTTGGGTTCTGACTTCAAGAGGCTGACAGAATCTGAGCGATGCATCAGGTAAAGTATTGAGCATCAAACTGCAGCCAGTTTCTGCCTAAACAATATAAGGAATTTTTAAAAATCTTATTAAGAGTTTTATTTTTTTATTTCTGTAATCACAAAGAACAGAAATATGTGCAAATCATACTCATGAACTGTACTATAATGCCAAAAAATCTTTTGTATTTATTTGTCTTTCCAGACTAGGTGGCCACCAATTTTTAAACACCTAGCTTACCTGTAACACTGATGTTTCAAGAACTGCATTAACCTATCCTAACAAGGACAGATTACCCTATATCTTAATGAGTAAATTCAAAAGCAACAGAAAGCAAAACTACACTATTATAGGGAAACAATTCCTTCATTCTGTATATAGGAGCTCTGGTAGCACATTGGCTAAGCACTGGCTCACCCAGAGCCACAGAATGAGAAAGAGCTAGGATCTGCTCCCATAAAGGTTAATGTTCTAAAAACCTCTTATGTTCTATTCTGTTCTATGAGGCTGCTATGAATCGAAAAGCAATTCAACAATACTCAAAAACAACAAACATTCACTACTCTATCCTTTAAAAAAAAAAACAAAAACACAGAGGAACTGGAGGTTTATTTATCTAGCATCCATAAAAAAAAAAAAAGGAAGGAAGGCTCATTGATTTGAAGCAAGGTTTTGGTACAGGAAGGAGAGGATGATAATGATGAGTTTAAATGTTTCAATGAAGACAAAGATACTACTCATTTTTCTCCCTTTGAGCGGCTGGTCTATTGGAATCAAATGTCTTTGAGTTGGTCCCTCTCATCCAACTAGTTTAATATTTTTACTATCCAAGTGCTGAAGTCCCAAGCAACCACCACAGATTTGAGTCTGTGCTAAGGCAGTAAACCAAGTGTCCTCTATAACCTTCAGAACAAGAATCAAACTCTATAATTGTGAACCAGTATAGGAAGACATTGAAAACAGAAATATAGCAGGCCAAGAAACCCAGAGAGCTTGTCATTCATCAGGTGGAAAATTAGTTTTCTGTTGTAAAATAAATTACTGTTTTCTTAAGAGCATTGCTGAAGCACTGTATTTTTAAATACAATTACAATTCATAATGGAATTTGATCCTTTAAGGAGTAAAGAGGAAACTACTATATCACTATTACAATTATGTTTTTAAGTGCTTCAAGTCATGCTTTCTGTTGGAGAAGTTATGAAGGACCAAGTATGAAGTAAAATACATTAAATGTAAATATTAAAAGAACCTGACTATTGTACATTTTTAAGATAGCACTGAAATTCAAAGCTAAATTTACTTAGGAAAAAAGAGAAATAGATATTTTAAATGAAAAAAGCATTAAAAACATTTGCTATGAAAATAAATGACAATACATTTAGAAAAATCATGTATCATTGAGATTATCATCCTTTCCTTTAATCAAGTTGTGCTCCTGGCCACACAAGGCCTTTGCATTTATAAATAAATGCATCTGCTGCCACTTGCCTAGTTCATTCTGTAGACAATCTCTTCTTAGTGCGCATGCTTTCAAACATTTGCAAATTTCAGGGGCTCACACCTTATCAAACATCACTGCAAGGTTCAGCATATCACTAATACCACTGACATAAACATTACGTAGGCAAAACAATCAGCAAATGTGGCACAGAAGCCTAATGCATTTATTATCGCTGCGTTCTGACTGGAATACATTCAAGTTGTTCTCCTCTCATTGCTGTAGAGTCAGTCGGGCAACTCATAGCTGACCCTCCACTGGTTTTTCCGAGGCTATAAATCATAAGAAAGGAGACTGCTCAACTTTCTCCCATGGAGACACCGAGAGATTTAAATTGCCACAGAGGGGCCATTTTTGGGTCAGTAGCACAACTAACTGTTTATGGACTATGCCACTAGACCCCTCATGTTAAAAGCGGCAAATGTTTTAGAGCTACGTCCATTCACTGCTCCAGAGTCAACCAGCTTATAGCTGATGACCCTCAGGGAGTGTTCGGAGGCTATAAATCACATAGGAGGAGACTGCCCATCTTTCTTGAAGCAGCTGGTGGATTTGAACCACCTGCTTTAACACAACTCCTTAACCATCAGGCAAGCTTACTGTTGTTG